GGCTCCGAGCTGTCAGCACAGAGCCTGACACGGGGCCCGAACCCGTGAAACGGGAGATCATGACCTGAGCAGCAGCCCAATGCCCAACTAAGTGAGCCACCCAGGCACCCCAAGCCTTTTTATTTTTTTTATTTTTTAATGTTTATTTATTTTTGAGAGAGAGAGACAGAGTGTGAGTTGGGGAGGGCAGAGAGAGAGGGAGACCCAGAATGTGAAGCAGGCTCCAGGCTCTGAGTTGTCAGCACAGAGCCCGATGCAGGGCTCAAACTCATGGTCTGTGAGATCATGACCTGAGCCAAAGCTGGATGCTTAACCAACTGAGCCACCCAGGCACCCTGCCCCCCCCCCTCCCCAACCTGCTTCTAACATCCCTCACAGCCTCTTCTCACCATCCCCTTGGCCTGGCTCAGGTCTCATCTCTCCCCTAGGTAGGAAATCCTCTGGCCTCCCTCCGGGGATCACACCCCACCAACCCAAGTCCTCACCTGTGGCCAGAGCAAGCTCTTGAACAAATGGTTTCTGATTTCTCTAGCCTTATCCTCCAGAACTTGCTGTCCCTTCAGCTGACTAATACCTACCCATCCTTCAAGTCTCAGCTCAGACATTATCTCCTCCAGGGAGCCTCCCCTGAGATCCAGGTTGGTTAGAGGGTTTCCCAGCTTCCCATAGCCCTCAGTCTTCCCCAGACATCTTGCATGAGCACCATTGATGGGCCTGTCTCCCCCATGGGATGGCTTGAATTATTCCCACATCCCCAGGGACCAGCCATAAAAGGAGGAGGCACTGAGGGCTTCACGGAAGGTACTTCTGAGGAGGCCCAGAAGTCTTGCTAACAGAGACGTGCTGCTCAGACACTGAGCACTCAAGCAAGCTCCCAGAAACCAGACTCTCCCCAGCCTCCCCTGCCACTTCCTTTTCCCACCAGGGCTAATGGTATTACTTAGGATGGATCGATTTCTCCAAGCCACCTCCAGGACTGCCGGTATCAGCCAAGTTCCCAAGAAATCCCTAGCAGGGAGCTCCTCCTGGCCCTGG